GTGGTCACTTAATGTAGGTTCTCAGAGACGGCCGATGGACTGAGCAGGAGGCTGCAATTTTGGTTCCAGGAGATATTATTAGTATCAAACTTGGAGATATTGTTCCTGCTGATGCTCGTCTTCTTGAGGGAGATCCTTTGAAGATTGATCAGTCTGCTCTTACTGGAGAATCTCTTCCTGTCACCAAGAACCCCTATGATGAAGTATTCTCTGGTTCAACATGTAAACAAGGTGAAATAGAGGCAGTTGTGATTGCCACAGGTGTGCACACCTTTTTTGGTAAGGCTGCACATCTTGTGGACAGTACCAATCAGGTTGGACATTTCCAGCAGGTTCTCACTGCCATCGGGAATTTTTGCATTTGCTCAATTGCCATTGGTATAGTAATTGAACTCATAATCATGTACCCAGTACAGAGACGCAAGTACAGGCAAGGAATTGACAATTTATTGGTTCTCCTTATTGGAGGAATCCCAATTGCTATGCCAACTGTTCTGTCTGTCACCATGGCTATAGGTTCTCACAGGCTATCTCAACAAGGTGCTATCACCAAGAGAATGACTGCCATTGAGGAAATGGCAGGCATGGATGTTCTATGCAGTGACAAGACTGGTACCTTGACCCTTAACAAGCTAAGTGTTGACAGAAATCTGATTGAAGTGTTTGCTAAGGGTGTGGAGAAGGAACATGTTATCCTTCTTGCTGCTAGAGCTTCAAGGACCGAAAATCAGGATGCCATTGATGCTGCTATTGTTGGGATGCTTGCAGATCCAAAAGAGGTATAATCTTTGTACTTTTTTTCTCTCTGCCTCCAGCTCCAGCTCTAGTTTGTGTTTGATATGATTCCTGAATAACTTGATTTATGACTAACAGGCAAGAGCTGGCATCAGAGAAGTTCATTTCCTTCCTTTCAACCCTGTTGACAAGAGGACTGCTCTCACTTATATTGATTCAGATGGCAAGTGGCATCGTGCTAGTAAAGGGGCACCTGAACAGGTAATATTTGTCATTCCTTCCACTGTTAAACAGCTCATGAACATCATAGTTGTACATGACTAATTTTTGTGTTTTTGATTGTTTGAAACTAGATCATATCCCTATGCAATTGCAAGGAAGATGTTAGGAAAAAGGTCCATGCAGTGATTGATAAGTTTGCTGAACGTGGACTTCGATCTCTGGCTGTGGCCAGACAGGTATTGCACTTTGAACTTCTCTTTAAATGTGCTATCCCCAAGTTAATTAAATAGTCATTAATATTATTTATTAATACTAACAGGAAGTTCCTGAGAAAACAAAAGAGAGTCCCGGGGCACCATGGCAGTTTGTTGGTTTATTGCCTCTTTTTGATCCTCCTCGTCATGATAGTGCGGAAACCATTAGAAGGGCTCTCAATCTCGGTGTCAATGTTAAGATGATCACAGGTAAAATTTGTTTACCATTGTGTCTTACATTTTGCTTTTTATATTGATCACGTGTAAAACTTGTTTATTATTTTCAATATTTTGAGTTTCATATTTGATTTGACCGTAGCTTTGAACTTGTATATTCTCAATAGGGGATCAACTTGCTATTGGCAAGGAAACTGGCAGGAGGCTTGGAATGGGAACAAATATGTACCCTTCTTCATCCCTCCTTGGCCAAGACAAGGATGCTTCCATTGCTGCCCTCCCTGTGGATGAGTTAATTGAGAAGGCTGATGGATTTGCTGGAGTGTTTCCAGGTTCATTTACCTGCCTTTCACTTTAATATATTTCATTGGATCTGTGCATATTTTTAGTCAATATGGTAGAAAACATTGTGGAAATAATATCAAGCAAATATTTACAATGCTGGTTGCGTGTTAAGTTAAATTGTTTTCATTATGTTTATGATGTTTTCAGAATATAACAAATAAGTTTCAACATAGATCATGTCATATAAACACAACGTGATCTTTGTTTGATTTCTACTGTAATTCACATTCGTGTACATATTCAGTTACTTTCGATCTTTTCTAAGTATTTGTTGAAAGGTGTCTTTGAAGTCCTCTTTAACCTTTTTTTTTTTTTTTGGATGATATGATAGAGCACAAATACGAAATTGTTAAGAAGCTGCAGGAGAGGAAACACATTTGTGGCATGACTGGAGATGGTGTAAACGATGCACCTGCTTTGAAGAAGGCAGATATTGGTATTGCTGTTGCTGATGCTACTGATGCTGCAAGAAGTGCTTCTGACATAGTCCTTACTGAACCTGGACTGAGTGTTATTATAAGTGCAGTGCTTACCAGCAGGGCTATTTTCCAGAGGATGAAGAACTACACTGTTAGTACCACAAGATATCTTTTTTTTCTTTCTTCTATTCTCCTAAATTTAAAATTGAAGTTTATTCAATTGAGTGCCTAATATCGTTTTATTTCCTTTTCCTCTCTTCTTAGATCTATGCTGTTTCAATTACCATCCGTATTGTGGTAAGTAAACCAAAACTAATCTAATATGCTTGTGCTATTAGAAAACATTTTTAGCCATTGATTACAATCATTTAATCTTCATTATTCCTAAATTGGCAGCTTGGCTTTATGCTTATTGCACTGATATGGAAGTTTGACTTTTCACCCTTCATGGTTCTGATTATTGCAATTCTTAATGATGGTAAGATTGTATTCAGTAAACCATTATGTCAATATGCACAATATTTCATGACTTAGAACCAGCAGGAGTCTGATTTTATGTTTTTTTTTTTTTTTTTTTTACCCTTTAGGAACAATCATGACCATTTCAAAGGATCGCGTTAAGCCATCTCCTCAACCTGACAGTTGGAAATTGAAGGAGATTTTTGCTACTGGTGTTGTGCTCGGAACTTATTTGGCAATCATGACTGTCATATTCTTTTGGTTAATGAAGAAGACTGACTTCTTTCCGGTAAGAGCATGCATATGCATTTCATGTCCAACAGATTTAGTCATGGCTTTATTAACTTTAATTTATTAATTGTTGTGATATCTTATGGTTCTAGTTGTTTTTCCTTTTTTTATAATGTAGGATCGTTTTGGTGTAAGACACATTAAAAATTCAGAGGATGAAATGATGGCGGCTTTATACTTGCAAGTCAGTATTATTAGCCAAGCCCTTATTTTTGTCACAAGATCCCGCAGTTGGTCCTTTGTTGAACGCCCTGGACTTCTCTTAGTCACAGCATTTGTTATTGCACAATTGGTAACGATTTCATCTGTACTTCAGATATTTACAACCACTATTCTTTATCCAAATAAGAAGACAATTAATTGTTTACCCTACTTACTTTTGTTCTTTTTCAAACATCTTGCAATTTGCCTTGAGTTAACTTGATGTTAAACTGTTTTTTAATTAACAGGTAGCAACATTCATAGCAGTATATGCAAACTGGGGCTTCGCACGGATACAGGGCTGTGGCTGGGGCTGGGCTGGTGTTATTTGGCTTTACAGTCTGGTAACATATTTTCCTCTTGATATATTCAAATTTGGAATCCGCTACGTTCTGAGTGGCAAGGCTTGGAATACTCTCTTGGATAACAAGGTAAGCTATTCCTAAATTCTTTTAAATGATTGAGGACTTCTAAGTTTCTATGTTTTTTTGACTCATTTTATCGTGTTGTATCTTGTGATAAGACTGCTTTCACCACAAAGAAAGACTATGGGAAAGAAGAGAGGGAGGCACAATGGGCAGCTGCTCAAAGAACTTTACATGGCCTTCAACCACCCGAGACAACCAACCTTTTCTCTGATAAGAATAGTTATAGGGAGCTTTCCGAGATTGCCGAGCAAGCCAAGCGACGTGCTGAGGTGGCAAGGTAAGCCATCACTCGACATTTGCAATTTCTTTCTCACCCAATTTAACATGCACAAGAAGACATACTTACCTCATTTCGAATGTGGCCATTTGCAGGCTAAGGGAGTTGCACACTTTGAAGGGGCATGTTGAATCAGTTGTGAAGCTGAAGGGACTTGACATAGATACAATTCAACAACATTATACAGTTTAAAAGAAAGCTCTTAAGAGATGTCTAAATGCCGCCATAAAAGCTCAGTTCTTAAATTATAATGACGAAGATGGCCTAAGCAAAACCTTTTTTTTTTTTTTTTTTTAAATCTAGATTAGTTGATATTTCCTCTTTGGTAAAATTTGGAATGATGTAACTTTGGATCTTCTCTCTGTGCTTTTTGTCTTCTGTTTTAAGTGCAGAAGATCGGAGCCAAATCTCTCATCTATAAAAGCCCAAATAACATCACTTGAATAGTTGAGTTCTTGTTCTATCTTATAATGTCATCTTGACTTGTACACCGTTTGGTTTCTTTGTGTTTCAATCATATTCTGAGATTGTACCTGCTAGTAGATTTTTCACTAAAAGAAAAAAGAGTAGTTGATTCAGAATTCCTACACTTCGGAAGTCTCTTGTGTTTAGAGAATGACTTGAGGTTAATTTCCTTTGATGAAGTAGCAGTTATCCCATAAACCTCCCGTGAGGTAAAGAGTTATAAAAACCGAAGAATCCTTGCATGATGAATTGAATTAGGTGATATACCAATTAATTTTGTCAAGTAAACTTGCATGATAATTTCCTTTGGGTAATGGTCAAGTAAAGTTTTGACAATAATTGTGGACTTAGGACATTAAGTAATGTGTCATCTTATTTAGCATTGACATATAATTAACCAAATCATCACTTGGTTTACAATTCAACAACACCACATAGGAGTACAGCTCACTTGACAGGAATTTTAGGATGACTTTAGGAATGTGTAACATTATTCTATTAAAATTATAAGGCAAGCACTTGGCTTAGTGAAATACATAAAGGGGTCTAGTTGGCTTTTCATGAAATCTCAGCTGCTAACTGTCCTATTCGTTTTGAGCCATTTTGCAAAATAACATCAGCCAATTTGTAATGAGAAACTGATTGCAGTGTGAGAATTTTGAAATTCCTGAGTAATCTATTGGGAAATTTTGAAATTTTAGATACGTTGGAAGATGGTAACTTGAATGATATGACATGCCTTTCTTTATAATTCAACCATTATGAAAAAGATGTAAGCTTTGGATGTGTTTATACTTTATAGCAATTAACTCAACAACTCTGTGGTGTTAATTACTCGATGTTCTCAAATTGCGAGGCTGCCATTGTTGTAAAAACCTCATCAAGTAATCACACTCTATGCATAAAGAGGAAACCAACTTTCTGAGAAAAAGTTGTAACTGACCGAAGGGATCTTCTATGCTACACAAAAGCTAAGAGTTTGCCCAGCAAATAGCTCTATACAGAATGTGATTTTCCCTAATAAATCACTAACTTGATCCTCCCTGCTGAAATATCTGTTGAAGGGCTTGTGGCAAATTCAATACGATCTCTGCATATGCTGGAATGGAGAATCCAGAAACAAGACACAGAAAAAAAGCAGAAATTAGAAAATTGAGGACAGCTATATTAAGAGAAAAGCAGGCTGCTAGCCAACATGAAAAAATCATGTTTAAGTCAAAAATTGGTTTTAGACCAAAAGATGTCTTCTGAGATGTGATTCTGAAACAAAATTAGTATTTCATAGCAAAAATTTAACAGTTGAGAATATCATAGCCAACCCCACCCCTCACTTAACAGAAAAGATGGACAACATTATCCTTATCCACAACCATAATGACCTCACTAGAATATTATCCGCCACTAGAATTTTAACTTCAATAGATGAAAGAACTCTTAACGTGATAAAAGGTAACCCACCTTCTGGTAAGCTCATGGTTCGTAATGCGTCCTCTGCATAAGATAGGCGAGCAGGAGAGGGGGTACTTATACCATCTTTCTTGAATTGAGATGTTGGCCATACCAGGACTCTGACTCGACTTGGAAGCACAGAGATTAGATCAGCATACCTAAGAGACACCGTTACCTTGCTGCAAAAAGTAGACACAGTTAGAACAGCAGCTTAAGAATATTCAGCCTCAAAGAGAACATATATATTCCTCATATCATGCTTAGAATCAAACATCCATTTTTAAAGGAATTGTCAATGTCTCATTTAGGTTTTGGCATCAACAATACCAAGTCAAAAAGAATTAGCAGCAGCTGATACTTTTGACTACTAAAAAATAACGGAGAACTGTAAAACAACATTTCAGAAAGATGAATAAGTAAATGAACAAAAGTATACCTACCAATCAGAATCATCTACTGCAAATTGAATAATGTGGTAGGGAAGGCTATGATACAAGTCTCCAATCTGATTTCCATACAATTCCTTAATAAGTCGCACCTGCATGAGATACGGAAAGCATGGTGAAACATAGATTGAGTTTGTCATTTAATGACAAGAATGTATGCAGCATAAAATAGATATAATACATATGAGGTGCAGCTTCTTAAGTACTAGCATCAAGCATGCAACTAGAAGGCCTAGGAGCAAACTATCACCTTAACTACTTACACATGCCACATTCCAAGTAAGTTTGGTCCTCCTTGTTTAACATTCTTTTACCAAAAATTTTCCCACAACTCACGCAATTGAATGCATAATACCACAGACTGAACAAGCTTTTAAGTTCAGACAATCTTCAACACATTTTCATGCCTCATGTTTTACTTCCCTTCTCATATATATCACAAACGATCTTCTGTTGTTCGAGAAAAATAGATGAATGTGTATGAATATTGCGACTGACCACCCTAGCAGCAAAAGATCACTTAAAATGTTTTTGCATACCAGCAACGTACCTGTTCTCGTCTATCTACATACGCCTGCAGAAGTTCTCCAATGTGATCTATGAATCTCTGAAAGCAAATCATGCAGTAATATTTGGAACAGGTTAAATATTGTAGTAGCATCAACTCAAAAAAGTCAAAAGTCAGGCAACCAACCTTACCATAGCATTGGAGGAAAGAAGATCATTTTCTGTTTCTCGTATTGGTAGAAAGAAAGGAATTGTGTGTTCAAGGACAGTCATCTTTTCAAGAAATGACTTGCTCTCGAGCACACAGTGGTACAGCTCGCAAGGCTCCCCTGCAAAATCGCCAAAACATAATCAGCTTCCTTATTGCTTAAACTAATGGGTGACCTCTGCTACAAGATCATATTATTTTAAAACCCACCAAAGAATTTCAATCATAACACTTTCCTGATGGATCAGAAACTCTATGCATGAGAATAACAGCTCAGTAAAGAGGCAGAAACAACTCCTGATAAATTCTAACAGAAAAGTAGCTTTCATGGATCAACATACAAATGAAAATGCGACAAAAGGTTTCTTATGGAGAAAGATTAGCCAACCTTTCAACAAAGCAATCCACATTTTGTTCTCTAAACCCCAACAAAAAAGAGCTTTCCATCAGGAACTCAAAAAACTCAAATCAAACAGAAACTTTTATCACCAAGACAGCAAAATAGCGTAAGATATCAGTGCAGAGCTCGCCCATGTACAAAAGTACTCCCAAGGAACATATAAAAAGGTTAAATAGCCATTTTTGGTGAAAAGTGATGAATTGTTCACTAAAAGGTGTACAAAGCGGCATATATATTAGTAAAATTGATAATGGGACCAAGAACTAATTAAGCCAACCATAAAAGAAATTATTCACCAAACATCTCTTACATAACCACAAAAATTAGATAACTCATGGAGAAAGCACTAAATTATAATTATGGAGAAATCCAACATAAGATAACAAGCTAGATAACTTGCAGTAATAAATACTTCAGGTTCAGGAATACCTGCAAAAGATGTCTCATATTGTATGCCTATTCTTGCCCCTTCTAAACAACAAATTACCTGTTAACAGAAAAATTAGCTGACATGTAATGAATACAAAACCGTTTAGTAAAATCATATAATGAGATTGCTTAAGGATAATTTCGCATCTAAACCTAAATATGTTACTGATATTAGAATTATGTTTTCCTTATCAGTAGCCAAACAGTCTAACACTGAAAGTTCATCTACACTCTCAGCTTAGTAACTATGGCCATAATTTGCGAGTTTGACTTTTTGTGAAAAAGAACAGCATAAACATGAGCATATTCAGATGTTTCCATTTCAATCCCCTGCTACAATTCATGAAGCAGCTTTACATTTTCCCAACACACTCCAGATATAATGCTTTCTCTTCTCTTTTTGTGCAATGTCTAATTAGTTTATGCTTGTGTACCAATGTTAGAACACTTCCAATCCCAAATACAAAAACATATCTTCATTCAGCAAGTGGATGCGATAGAAATCTATAACTACTAGGATATGTTACCTTATTACCAACTTTATAAGTAATTTTTTCCTGAAAATCAGAATCTGCAGGGATATTTGCGTCCACTGGCATTGCCCTTCTGTCAGCCTCCATGTGAACCTGATAAAGAGCACAAGTATTAATTCTAAGCACTTGATAATTACAGAATATGCAAATAGCCATATGGCAATCTTGGCAATAGACGCAACTTCTACCAAGGAGAAGAAGCAGGAAAGAGTACTGAGAATGATTTTATCCATCAGATATATATTACAAGAGACCACAGCAAAAATGCAATCTATGACAAGCATTAACTGAATCATACCCGTTCTCTTATAGTAGCTAATAGCCCATCATTCCATTGATCACCATCCAAACAAATCTCTGCAAACAGTTGGCTTTCTTAATCCAGCAATATTTTGAGAGAATACTAGCACAAGATGATAGTGAATGAAAGGCATGGAAGAGGAGGGTGACAGCCCAAATTTTGAAATGAACATAAATTCTGTTGCATATATAACAAATGTATAAGCACATGCTACTACCATTCTCCAAGCTACCTTGGGTTTGAGAAGCTCGTGCAGCTTCGAATTCTTTTTGTAGACGCTCAAATATCATCTTGTCTGAATCCCTATTAAATTCAATAAAATGATCAAAATTTTCATAGATGATTAATCAATTACATTGCAAACAACATAATCTGAAACTTGGCAAGATTAAGAAAATAAAACATAACTTTAGGACACACCTTTTAGAAAGAAAAAAAATCAGAACAATAACCCATGTAGGAGACAAGGATTAACATGTTATAATTTTAAATGTTGTAAATGAGAGATTGGCCATTCACAATTCTGAAATTGTAAATTTCATATTCTTGGAAAAATTAGCATAAAAAGGAACTTTCAATAACATCAAAGTTTTAACACTTAACCTAACTACTCAGAGGTCAAAGCTAGTTCACTAGTATATGCAAAGCACTTAGTTCAGACAAATAAAGTAATTTCGCAACAATAACCAACTAAAGGATAAACAATGCAAATGAAGATTTTAGGATTTTCAAGAAGTTGTACCGAGATAGCCGCTCTGTACTTTATAGTATTTGCAATGCACTTACAGTTCAGACAAGTAAGGTAATTTTGCAACGATAACCAACTAAAGGATAAACGATACAAATGAAGATTTTAGGATTTCCAAGAAGTTGTACCGAGATAGCCGCTCTGTCAATTCTCCATGCCTCTTAAGCACATTCGAAACTGCCAGCAAGTATAAAAGCTTTAAGATATTCAAAAATAGCAAGCACATATCATAAAAAAATATTATTAGGAGATAGAAGTTGAAATTCATATGAAATACATCTCGCTCGTGAAGTCTCCAACCGTACATCATCCTCTTGCATAAAATTCTGTTACAAAAGAAGAGTGTTCTGTTTAACAGATTATAAAAACAAACTAAAAAATCTACATTTATGATCATGCAAAGTCCATACAACAACAATTAACCAAAAATTCCAGCAGCAAATTAAAATGCTGATAGTAAAAATATTAATTTGAAATAATATAAAGTGAGAAACAATTAGAAATAAATAGTCAAGTTAAAAAAGAAATTAAAAAAAGACATTAAAATGTTTACCACTTCTCCCATAACTGGATATGAACGTACTGCGAAGTGTTCCAGTGGCTGCATAATTAAGACTAGCGTGCTTAATAAAATTAAAAGTCGCCAGTAAAATTAGAATAAAAAAATTAGGGAAATCGAAAAACTAACCTTGCGAGCTGAGTTCTCTCCCAAAAATGGGTTCTTTCTCTGCTTTTTCTTCAACGACTCTTCAATGTCGCTCTCCATTAACTTAAAAACAAAGGAAAAGGAGGAGTCTCAGTTCCAATTTGGTCATCGATGGTGAACCCGAAAGGGCATTAGGGTTCGCAATGTCGGGTAATAATTGCTGGATCCAGACCCGATCACTTGTTGGGTAAACTGAAATCAGGAGGAAAATAAATATTAATAATATATTAATTTTTGAGTAAACTTTTATTTTATTTCTATTACCAAAAATGATACTATTTTGAATATCTAAAATTAATAATAATTTTTTTTTTTAATTTCTGATTCTAGTAAATAGTATTTCTCTTTATCCAAGTATCAAAAATAATAAAAAGATATTTAAAATTAATTCAAATTCATTTATTATTTAATTAATTTTGTGGGTTTTTTTTTTTTTGGCTTTTATACTATGCTTATAGTATAAAATAGGGTAAATATAAAGGTAGTAATACAAGTAATTTTATAGAAGATATTTTTATGTGAAGAGACATGATATAATAGTAATCAAATAAAATTTAATTAACAGTATTAAAGACATAATTATAATTAACACATTAGTAACCCTATCATTAATCTTTTTAGCACTACAATGAGTACAAATTTATAATATGATTCGATAAAGTGTAAAATAAGTAATATTTTATATTACTAACTATTTGTTGATAATTAAATAACCTAAATTTGTATTTAGACAATATCATAAAATTAGTTATTTGAAGTAATGTTTTGAAAAAAACATAAAAGAAAGTCAACCTTGTACATAGCTGTTGTGTAAAAATAACTGATATTTTAATAATCATATAATTAATCTAAAATTGTAACAAAAAATAAAAAATAAAAAAATAAGAAATAAACACGTTTGCACTAAAAAAACACAAGGTGAGAGAGAGCGAGAAAGAAGAGAAGGGAAGGAGCGAAGAGAGAGACAAAAAACAAAAACAGTAACTAATAGCAGCGATCGAGCTACACAAACAAAATACCCAACTTCAATTACAAATCAAATACAAGTAACCAAAAACCCAGAAGAAAAATGCACTCCAAATTTTCAAATTATTGAAAAAAAAATTAAATTAAGATTAAACAAACACAGAGCCAAATTTTCAAGCCGCGAAGAAGCGTATCCCAAGTTACTGAGACTTCGATTTCTCAACAATTCGTCGAGTTCATTAAGGTCAGGCTTCAATCAATCTGTTAACATTGAATTTATACTGTTGAGCTTAGTTTTCAGTCTTCATTGTGCTTGCTTTCTTTGCAATTTGATTTTCTTCTCTAATTCGTGCTCTGTTCTAAACTCAATGATCAAACTTACCGATCTCTTTTGTTTAACTTCCAATTTTGAAATTTGAAGTTTTAAGCTTTTAAATTACGTGCAAACAATAAGGTGTTTTAATTTAATCGGTGCAGTGATAATACTTTTACGGTTCGTGAAGTTCGTGGGAGGCCGTGGTTGGTTTTGGTGATGTGAAGCTAGGGTTTTGATTTATTCTGTATTCGGATGAACTTGGTTTGTTTTCGTGGTTTTGGAATAACTTGTGCTGTGAGTTTGATCTTTTAGGGTTTTGGTTTCTTGCGACGATGAGATTTGGGTTTGCATTGTATTGTGGGTGGGTGGGTGAATTTGGGGTTGTCTGGAAACGGAAATAACTGAATTTTGCTCCGGAATTGAGATTTCTGGGATATTTTAAATTACTTAGGTCTTTTTTTTTTTTTTTTTTTTTCTTGAGCCTGTTTCTTAAGATATGCAGAGTTTGAGATTTTGATTTCCATGTGAGGGTATGGGAATTTGTGGTTCTTCTGATGCAAGAATAACAAGAATTCAGTAGGGTTTAGTTTTGGGGTTTTTAGTTTTGTGAAGGTGTATGAATCTGTTCATTGAGAAATGCAACCTCAACACGGTTCTAGAATTGATTTGGTTGAATTGAAAACTCAGATAGTGAAGAAGATTGGGATTGATAGGTCAAAGAAATACTTTTATAATTTGAATAGGTTTTTGAATGAGAAAATAAATAAGATTCAGTTTGATCAGTTTTGCCGTCGCCTACTTGGAAGGGAGAATCTTCCCCTGCATAACCAATTGCTTTTTGCAATCTTGAAAAATGCATGTCAAGCTAAGACACCACCACCTTTTAATGAGACGACGCTTACGAAATCTGTAACTCAAGCAATAAAAGGTTCTCCCAGTAGAGAAGATGGGCATGAACCAAGTGGGTCACTTGTTCCGAGTCAGAATCAAAGTGTCCCTATTTGGCCAAATGGAGTTTTGCCAGTGTCCCCGCGAAAGGTTAGATCGGGGGGTCGAGATCGGAAGGTCAGGGATAGGTCTAGTTTGCTGGGACCAAATGGAAAGGTTGATTGTATTTCTCAGCAGTCATTAGGTACAGAAGATAGTGGTGGTAAGCTTCATATGGCAAATGGGGATTTAACACCTTGTGATTATCAGAGACCAGTGCAGCATCTTCATGCAGTTGCAGAGCAACCTGATAATGAAAACAAGGGATCAGTTCGAGCCACTGAAAGACCAAGGATACCTAGTAAAGATCGGGCTGGAGTTGGTTTCTTTGAAGATGGGGAAGAAGTGGAGCAAGCTAACCACTTTAATTTCTCTAGCAGTCCTCTACTTGCTCCCCTTGGGATCCCATTTTGCTCAGCCAGTATAGGTGGGACCCGCAAAACTATTCCTGTGCAAAGTACTGGTGATTTTGTCAGCTAATACGACAGTTGTGGTTTGTCTGATAACGAGACGCTTAGGAAACGTATGGAGCAGATTGCTGCAGCTCAGGGCCTTGGAGGTGTTTCACTGGAATGTGCTAATACTCTGAATACTATGTTAGATTTGTATCTGAAGAAGTTGATCAAGTCATGTGTGGAGTTGGTTGGATCAAGGTCTGCACAGGAGCCCAGAAAGCATACTGTCAACAAGCAACAGGTTCAGGGCAGAGTTTTAAATGGGATTTGGCCTAGTAATCACTTACACACGCAGAATACTAGTCGTCATTTGGAAGGTATGCAGAATCAAAGACCACAATGCTCGATATCTTTGCATGATTTCAAGGTTGCCATGGAGCTGAATCCACAGCAACTTGGAGAAGATTGGCCATTGCTGCTGGACAAAATTTGCATGGAATCTTTCGAGCAATGAAAATGCATAGAGAGATTTTTTTTATCCCATAATTATGATTGGGTCAGACTGTTCTGGTTCAAAGAGTGACTGTTTTTGAAAATCTTTGAAGCTCCCAGTTCATGCATATTGCTGGCTGAACCAGATGGCTGCCTTTCAGATTTATGCCATGGCCCTTGAAAGATACCATTTATCTGGTTGGGCATCATGATGACTGTATTCTCCTGCTGCAGATCCCAGATGAATCAGCATCTCATTCAAAGGCAACCAAGCAAGGGGTACTTTTAAATGTAGGATCTCATGCTTGGTTGCCCTACTGTACAATTAACACTGACGTTGGCTGTCTCCTGCCATTGCTACAGATCTCGAGTTTTCCATGTATAATTACAGCCAATGGGGAGGAAATCTAAGAAAGTTTTGCAGGAATACTGTTTTGTAGCTTGGTGAAAGGTATAATCACTCATGTAAGAGCTGCAGTTAGCTCTGTATGTAATTTAGAATCTGAGAATTGATTGGAATTCCAATATTAATAACAAATTCACATCCATTTAATAGTCCTCAATGTTTTTATTTTGAATGTTTCAGCTTAATGACACCTGAAAATTCTATGTTAAAGTAATATGACTGATGTTGGATTTGCTAGCCATAGTTTACCATGGACGCTTGACAAGAAGGTGGCACATATAGTCTTTATTCCCAAGACAAATGCTTCTTTTACGTGGATGCTCTGCGCTGCTTAATTTTTTAATTTCAGTTTGCTCTCTCTAAGAGACCAGTTGTCCACAATAGTGCAGTCAATGATCTGAGTGAAATTTGTTCAGTCTTTTAAATTTGGCACAAGTTACCAATCACAAGGAAGTTTAAAATTAGTGAATTATAAGAAAAATCATCATCAACGTGTCAAATTTTTCACAATAAATTTAAATGGGGGATAGAAATAATACCATTAGTTGGTAAAATTCAACATCTCTTCATTGAATTCAAACTTATGCAGCTTGTTAATCCATTTTTTTTCCTTAGTTGTTGAGGATGTCTATTTCTTTGACAACATCAATTTTCATGAATATTTGAGTATTTAACTGGATTGATGATTTATGCTCTATTATAACAAATATTTACCAGTTTTGATGGTAAAATGCCTCAAGTTCTATTATTGGAGCAGATGTGAAGCGCATTTTGTGCCATTCAATCTGCGATATTGTACCTGACAACCTGGTGCATGGAGAAAGTGCAAGTGAATATACAAGACTGCTTGGTGCAGTTGTCTTCTATAAGGGACCTTAACTCCCTTACTGATGATATTTAATTGAGCCTTCTCCAATTTATTTGTTAATTAATGATGCACACACAAATTATCTATATAAACTCGTGTACTCAATATGATGTAGCATTATCATTTTATTGCCACACAGTTCATCTTCATTAATTGCTTAATTTTTTCCCTTTCATCTTTGCATTTATTGTGTACTGAATCAGTTTATATATAAAGTTTGCAAGAGTATTGCTGTCACTGCTGGTTGGATTAGCACTTCATCAGGGCATTTTTCAGTCATAAAAAGGAAGTAATTTTGTTGACATTGTTTCTGAGGTTCTGTGGAGGGGAGGGTTCTGGAAATTCCATTTAGAAGTTTTTGGATTGCCTTGTCTGCTGTCTGTATCCAATGATGAGGCAGATTACGCTCTCTTCAATAGAAGATGTGAAAGAAAGCATAAGTTCTGGAGACCAGTGCAGCATGCTAAATGACTTCCTATAGTAGCTGAAAATTTTTGGGGGCTACGGCTTTAGTGATCCATGGGAAAAACTTTAGAATGTCCATTGTATATACCATCCACAATGATGTGATGCCACGTTAGCACATGTAGCGTGCATGTACCTCACAATTGATTGGTTGCATATACATCCGATGTACAGTAAACTTTCTGAGATATGTTGTGGAGATTGTAGGTGACCTCGAGGAATGTGTGTAGCAATCCAGGGGCTTTAAGAGTTTTGCACGTAAGAGTGTTGGAATATATGTCTTGGATATGACTGCACTTCTTTGATTAAGTCTTACTTTGATTTGGTGGGAGGCAAATCCACTAATGGAATGGAAAAGTACCCAGCTTACAAAAAGTGCATTTGGGTAATATAAAGGAGTTTTTTACTGTTGGTTGCTCTCTTGCAAGATAAAATTTGAGGGTTAGAGCATAGAAGGATTATTTTCTTTTTGCTGCAGTAGATACTACACATTTATTTAATTGCAACTCAAGTGGATCCTTTTAGAAACGATATAGAGAAGAGTTTTGCAGGCAATACGTTAAAGATTGGATGCATAGAAACAGAGATTATCTTTATTTTGTAGGCTGTTTTTAGCTCCATTCTGGTTCAGAAGATGTGAAGGATATTATGTGCAGAAGTAAGAAAATTACCATCATAGCAAGTGGTTTGTGTGTTAGGCTGCCAATATTTTGTGGTTTTTCCAGTCTCGTGTCATGTAGCTCTTTATTTATAAAGATTTGAGGATCCTTTTGGTAGAGACAAAAGGGTAGTCTTCTGAAAATCTACCACCACATAGTTTGTGGTTGATTTTGAATAAGATGAACAATAGGAGTTGGGTTTCTAGCTTCTTGAGCATCAAAAATGAAAATTTCAGCACACGATTTCTCAAATTTTTTTCATACACCAAATTGTAAAGTGTTCTGGGTTTAAAATGTTTGCATTCATCTTCCACTAGGCAACATATTGCATATGGAAATATACACTGCAAATGGGCTCATCTTCATAATTTTTCTTGATATTGTTTCTGGTGCCAATACCTTCAAGCCATAGTTCTTGTTCTTGTTCTTGAGGTGGTGGACCATGTGGGATGTTGAGTGCTTTATGTCCTTTCACTAAAAAGGAAGAAAAAAAAATTATCTGGGATGATTGGTAACTACTCTGATATTCCCATGTTAACATAAAAAGAGGCATGAGATGGCCTACTCAAATGGCATTAAGTCAGTCAGTCCCGGCACTAAAATTTCTAGGTTACATAGTATTATTCTTCAGTTTATAAGAACCATAAAATACAACCAGAAAATGGGGCTTTTTTGTCCCTTGTCAATTGTATTTTTAATTCTATTAAAAAGATTATCTTATCCTTATAATTTAAGAAACATAAGCAATGGGCCCATGGCATCGATGTTTGATGAATTTCTGGCTATGAGACTCAGGATTATGTTCTCCATCCAATGTGCTACTACAATCACCAGTCTATTTTTCCTTTACTTCTTTCTTTTTCCTCTCATGGCTCTTTCAATTGTCTTGATTAATCAAATTTGATAGTGATCGTTTTTTGTATTAAGTTGAAAATTTCAAACCCATTTATTTCTGGACCTACACATGACTTTATCTCACTTATCTAAATGGATAACAATTGTCTAATCTTGCAAGTTTTAATTGAAGCCAATGGCTCCTTATTGGCTCAAATTTCCCTCTACATATTTACCAAACATATGCATAAAGAGAAGAGAACAAAAAGCAAATAAAATCCTCCTAAAAGACGAACAGCATTTTTTTTATAAAATTTCATTCACAGTTTACTTTTTTTTAATGTGAACATGGAATTCAATTTCCACCGCAGAGCAGCTTGCCTGGGTTTATTACTTGATGAACGGGGACTTGTTATGTACATAAAGAAGATTAAGATTAAAGATGAAGGGACGCACTTAATTTGTACAAAATGAACAAAAAAAGAAGTCGGTCTCCCGCATCATTTTAAACAATGGAATCTTGTCATGAAGAATGTGGCGAGGGCTCTGCTGCTGCCTTGCAAATAGGGCACCAGTTCTTCAGCCGCAGCCACTGCTGTATGCAGGTCACATGATATCTATGCTGACAATGTAACCTCCCCACTTCATCCCCAGCAACATAATCTTCCTGTGATGATAAGACAAGCATGTTTTAGAAATTTGATTCAGTCAAGAAAACAAACTTGAATTTGCAGTGCAAATTAGGTGACATAAAATTAATCTGATCTGGCAGTGGATACATGTTTTGCTCACATTCCAGCAAACTAAGTTCTCTTTTAGCTTAAAAAAAAAAGATGCAACCATCACTAAAAAACGGTATTTACAAATTAATTTTGTGTGCACTGATGCAATCATTCTAGCAGGTACCCTGATGATTTGATTTGGCTAGATTATCAACTGAAAAAAATTAAAAAAAAAAAAATTAATAATAACAGCAAATTCTTCAAGTATTTATTCAACGGACCTGACAAACAGAACATTTAACATCATCATTATTGCCACTGCAGTTCAAAGTGGCATCCTTGAGAGCTTTTGACTGATAGATGCTTGTCATAAGGCATTTGGATATTGCTTCTTCTGTTAATGCAGTGCTCACACTACCCATTCTCTCTTCCAGAGCTAATAATTCCTGCAATGGTACCAGTATAAAGCTATAACATAAGAAAAGCCAAAAACAGTATCAATTTTATTAATACAAAAAAAAATTGAAGTACAAAAGCTACAAGCAAGACAAAGCTCTGACTGAATTGCAAGATTATCATAACAGAGAACAAACCTCATATGACATGTCATCAATATCCAGTCTCATGTCTCTATGCTGGTCGTAAAAATTTAGGCCGTTAAGGAGCAAATTGGTCTCCAGAACAAGTAATTGCTGCAAGACAAAAAGAAAATATTTAAAACTGCCAGTCAATTTGCTGGAACCAAAAATTTGAAAGTTGACTACCTCATAAGATAACTCTTCATCTTGTTCAATCCTCTCAAGAGCCGACAATACCTGCAAGATATTATAAAAACACATATATTACAAATGGGGCTTTATCAAAACAATTACATCATTAACAAACTTTAACTGGTTCATTTTTCACCCCTCTCCAAACAAGACTATTCCATACTGTTCAAAGGATAATACACAAACAAAAAACCTCCATAGAAGCAATCCTTTTTATTCTCAGAATTTTCGTGCAAAAGAAATCTAAAACAACATACAAATAATAACACTACCTCTGCAATACCATCCATATTATAGCGCCCAAAGTTATCACCATTAATTAAAGAGCGAGGAATGCCAACTTCTGAGGGACTACCAGGCACTAAAACTCGTAAACTTCCACTGCTACTGCCAGGCCGACTGTAAGAACCCAGGCGACCTGAGGGAGTTTCCAAAGAAAATTGAGGCCATGAAGAAGGAACATTTAAATCAGTATATATATCAGATTCAGGCACTCGTTGAATCCCAACAGGGGACTCGTTTGGTGCTAAATTATTTCCATTTCCTTGATAAGGGAGCCTTGCCCGGTTGTTACCATTGGCTGATCTCCGAGTCCTAACAGATGTAACACTATTATCCCTGTTAGGAGGCCAATTCCTGGCTCGTCTTGAATCAGAAATGGAGACACCAAGGTTAGAACTGTGATTTCGCACTTCAAGCGATGGTTCACTTGTTTTCTTCCCTCTAGAGGATGAACTACTTTCTCCTTCTGAACTTCTCTTTTTAACCATATCCTTCCTTTTACTAATGCTTGACTCTGCTAAAGAACTACTACTACTGGAAGGGATGACATCAGAAATAGAGTTGCACCTTAGATTTCTCAAACCATGCCTGTTTGTGTTAGCCACTGTTGTCTGACAGGTACTCCTAAATGGCAAAGACACAGAGGAACCACCTGAAATATCTCGGTTGCCCAACCCAGATCTGTGATGGAAATTCCTCCGAGATCTTGTGTTTGATGCTGCACTGGAGCTTGCCTCTTCCATTATCATAACATCCCCAGAATCAGCATCCTCAGATTCAGGGCAAAGCCCTCTTTGAATCTTTCCAGGTGGAGGAACGAGTTCTGCAACTTCTGGCTCATCCCGAACACTACTAGTTTCAGATGAATCCGTTTCAATTTGGGAAGACGCCTTTTTCCGAGGATTTGTGGGGGACTTTTTTGCATTGCTGACTGCTGCACAAGTCCTTGAGGAGCTTCCGATTATTTCCTTGCCACTGGAAGAAGAGCGAAATGAAGGCCTTGAAGATTTGGCTTTTTCTGAGCAGCCAATTTGAGCGCCCTTCATGGAATTCAGTCGACCACTGCAACCAATTCTGCTGCAAAATTGAGCATTTTGGTCTCTGTTATTGACAGTATCTCTTAGAACAAGACCAGAACCCTTTTTCGTGACAACAAGCCCATCTACAGCTCTTTTACCAGAATATCCATCCATGTATCCAGTACCAATCCCTTGTATCTGAGACAACATAGATGAACCAATTCAAGCAATCAAAGCCTTTCTCAACATTATGCATCAATTAAAAAAAATGCACAGTATTATTTTTCAAAATAGATCAAAAACTTTATGCAGCACAACCCAAACGAAAAGCATACACCAATTGCACATGACAGTAGTCTATTATAATTCATTGATCATCCCACAACAATTACTGAAAAGTCCCACCACGTTATAAATAACATGGTAAATCCGGAATATATCATCAATAACTCAGGTGGTTAAATTTCAGAGGTTCTACCCTACAGATGCTATATCCATAACTACCACAGTTAGACAGAAATTCATATAGTTCATTAAAATTTGAAACATAAAAAAGTTTTGTCATAAGAAAATAAATTTGCATATTATCTCTGACACCTTGAACAACAAAGATTATGTTAAATTCAGTAACAAATTCAGATACAAATTCAGATAACAGTACTGAGTCCAATAACAAAAAAACAAACGGATTAAAGCAAAACAAAGTGTATCAACATTACCTGCGTTATTGATAAATAAAAATTAATCACATAATGGTAAATAGTTTCATATGTTTCCGACTCTGAACAACAGACGAACGAAAGAGGAGCCAAAGGCCATATGGCCAATATTAGATCCCAAGATAAAGGGTTTCTTCTTCTTTTTTTTAAGGCCAAAGCTTTGCTTGAATTATTCTCCACACAATCTTTCTAAGTCTTCCCTTTTTTCTAAAAATAAAAATATTAATATTAATAAAAAGACTCTTTCTCCGTGATTAACGGCCTCTCAAAAGCTGAACCAACCCCCTAAAGTTATTCAACAACAATCACTACTCTTTCTTCCTTCCAAAAAAAAAAAAAAAAAAAGAGCAGAAATTCAATTCAAACATCAACACAATCCAAATTAATCCCAAAAAAAAAAAAAAAAACACAGAAACTGATTATCGAGTGATGAAAAGAATCAAGATTATTGAATTACCTCGCTTTGCTATTTCTTCTTCCTTCTCTTCTCAGAGACGTATTTGGTTCTCAAGAGTTTCTTGAGATTGAGTTTTCAGAGAGAAATAGAATCCAAAACGTGTGTGAAAGATACAAGGCGCAGGTTGCTAATGAGTAAGTTGGGACTAATTATTTATAATAATTTAATTAATTATCACTTCATTAACATTAATAAAAAAAAATTAAGAAATTGATTTAACATCTTTTAAAGTTGAGACTTGAGCGAAGCCAAATGAGATATGCACCGAATGCAAAGCAAAAGCAGTGCCGTCCTAGGGAAAAAAAATTATTTTGACCGTTGATATTGGGTTTGGAGAGTCAAAGATCGACGGCTGACGAAGACCCGTGACGTTATTAGGTTAATGTTTTATCTTTTGGACGGAACAGATTTAACGAGTTCCATGGCCCCACCTACACGCCTACATCAACAGGCAACAGCTGAGCCGCCTAACCTTTTTTTCATTTATTTAATTTTTTTTTTTTTAAGTACATCAAGTCGAAGCGCGTGTTAATACGCGATGTATTTTGATAAAGATGGTATTTAATTCTTGATTTGACCAGTATTTATCTACTTTGGTCTTTTCATTTTTGTTTTTTGAAATTTAATTTCAATTTGGTGTGGCTGAGTTTTTTTTTTAATTATAATCTATAATTTAAAAAAAAATTCAAATGTAATAAAAAACAAGCATCGAATTTAAATTTTTGAGTAATGTATGTATATAGTTATAATTTTATGATTTTTAACTAATGATTCCTTTTATATGGAAAAAAATAAATTCCATCTTTATATATAAAAAAATTATTATGAATAGTTTATGATATGTTATAATCTATACATTTTATATAAATTTATATTAAAAAATCATCTTTTATTTATATAAATTTGTAAAAATGATTAACAAATAATTAAAAATTGAATTAGAGTGAGTAAGGGGCGATTTGGTCCGAACAAACTTGAGTGATCACCACGCTCTTTAAGCATTGGGTCCAGCATCGCTTTCTTCACTAACCCAGTTGCCAATACGCAATACCCATCAACAAATTAAAAAAAAAATCAATTTTCTTTTTGATTCTTCTCTAAGAACTCACCAAATAACCATCACAAAAATTTCAGAAAAAAAAAAAAGAATATTATTTTTCTAATAATATATTTAATTTTTGATGATACTTGTTTAATTGGAAGTAAACGTGAGATTAGGCTGTGAGGAATCAATTACTTTAGCTTTTGAGATTAATTAAATTCCTAATAGGGTAACCTTAGACACAAATCACACGTGGCATATGAAATCTAATGATTAATCCTAATGTTTATAGTGTGAATAATTTGAAAATAGTGGTGTCAACATGCCAAGGTTTTACGCACATTAAGGTGTATGAACAATAACAAAAATCAATTAAATAAAAATTCCGTGGAAGAAAATGTAAATTCAAATTTATAAAATAAATAAACTGATAAATAACTTATGAAAGAAGTTAAACTTGTAATATACGAAAACTCATTTAAAATAATATAAAGTTTTTTTAATATTATGGAATCAAATAACTTAAAAAAAATTCAATTGTGTTTTTAATTTTAGTAAGTGTTATGTGGTAAACTGAAAAGGATAATTCTTAATCGGGGAAGGATAATTTTGATTAAGCCAAAAGATATCATGCGATATGGACTCCATAATTAGAGTTGATCCCCATAATTAGAGTCGAGGATCAAGTTGTTTTCCTGAGGATTTAGAGTTTATTCCCAACTCTATTATGTTTTGAGGGGACAACAAAAATACACACATAGAAGAACAGTAAGGCTGAGAAAAGAGAGAGAATTTGAGATAACTTTATGTTACTTTGTTCGTAAATACACTCAATATACAACAGTGGACGTAAGTTTTACGTTATAAATAGTCAAAGCACTTTAAAAATCTTATTTTGTTCTATGTGTATTATATTAAGTTTTTGTTCATATACAGTTGTTATATCCCACCGCTGATCCATCAAGATTATGCAAACGTGTAACATGATTATAACGTTATCAATCACGTACCTTTTGTTGTTGCGATTTTTTACATTAATAATAAATTATTTTAACGGTAAATAAACTGAACTAAAGAGGATTTTATAATTTTGAAGGGTAAAAAATATGACCGAAATTAAGTCAAAAACAATTAATTAAGATTAGAAAAATATGCTCAAAACTTATTCAAGAGAATATAATGATAGATAATGGATTTATTGTTACTTTTGAAATTAAATGTGTTGTGACAGAAATAATTATAGAGCACATTTGTGGGTTGTTCATGTCACTAAAGCATAATGAATAATACAATAATGGGTGTTAAAGTTTTTCAAAAAGTAGTTTTGTTGGAGAAGTGCTTTTTCCTCAAAAGCATTGATTAATTAGATGCTAAAAGTAAGTCACATAAATGGAGTGTCCTTGTTGTTTGAAAGCTTAATTTAATATTAATTTTAGGGCGAACGACTTATTGATACCCAAGGTTTGTCAAAACGATAAGTTGGTACCTAAAAGGTTTTGAAACGATAAACAGGTACCTTCCGTCATGTTCTGTTAGTGATTTTCATTTGATAATAGTGAAAAGACTAAAATGCCCTTAAAAGTTTAATATTTTAGTTTTTTATAAATTTAAAAATTTCTAAAAAACCCCCAGGTTTGCTAATTTGACTAAATACCCTAATATATAAAAAGTTTATAAAATAACAAATACACCCCCGCCACCCACAGTGCCAGATTCCGGCCACCGCCGCCGGAACCTGGCCGGAAAATTGCGTTACGACACAGACCCATCGGATCTGTGTCGTAACGCGTAGATCTTTCATTTTCCGGCAAGATCCGTGGCTGATCTGGCCGGAAAAGGCCAGATCTACGGCCGTCGAGACCGGGAACTTGCCGGAAAATTGTGTTACGACACAGACCCATCGGATCTGTGTCGTAACACCTCGATCTGGCATTTTCCGGCCAGATCCGTGGAGGATCTGGCCGGAAAAGGCCAGATCTGGCCGTCGAGGCCGAAAAAGGCCAGACGTAGATCTGGCCTTTTCCGGCCAGATCCGCCACGAATCTGGCCGGAAAAGGCCAGATCGGTGTGTTACGACACAGATCCGACGGTTCTGTGTCGTAACACAATTTTCCGGCCAGATTCCGGCGGTGGTGGCCGGAATCTGGCACTGTGGGTGGCGGGGGTGTTTTTGTTATTTTATAAAATTTTTATATATTGGGTCATTTAGTCAAATTAGCAAACTTAGGGGGTTTTTAGAAATTTTTAAATTTATAAAAAACTAAAAATTAAACTTTCAAGGGCATTTTAGTCTTTTCACTATTATCAAACGAAAATCACTAACAGAACATGACGGAAGGTACCCATTTGTCATTTCAAAACCTTTTAGGTACCAACTTGTCGTTTCGAAAAACATTGAGTATGTATAAGTCGTTCTCCCTTAATTTTATCATTAAATTAGGCAAAAATTAAAGCTTAATGGAGGGGACCAAATCACATAGAAAGTAAGGGGCATTATGGGCCAAGGCCAGCCTTCAAAGAATCAATTAAATAACAAATGTATAATCTATAATGATAAGGAGAGGAGACCGACCTTATTGTATAAATGAATAAAATAAAAACTATATAATAAAATGGAAGTTAACTAAATTTAGCTTGCATGTTTGACAATTGTAATGACAGGAGGACCCAATTTTCCTGTGATGTAATTTTTTGTATTTGTTGTCATCTTCTTGTTTGGTAGTGAGATCAAAGATAAGGGTACCGAATTTAACTACTAAAATATTTACAATAATTAAATGATGATGTGGGCATTAATTTAATTAGTCATTAGAGGAGATTATGTAGAAGTTGGCTTAAACCACTACAAAATTGTGGATGATGTTTTGGGTTGGGGAAGATGGGGACGTGTCAATTGGGCAAAAAGCTAGATAGCTCAATAGAGAAAAGCCAAACCCACAACAACAAAAACAAAAAAGAAGTAGAAGATAAAACTAAAAGTGCTTTCAGATAAAGTGCTTTTTGCTTTGGAGTGTTACCAGAAGCAACTTGTATTTCCTGGTTTGGTATTTTCAATTTCTATTGGCTTGGAAGTGGAAAGACCTTGACGTGACTTGTTCAATATAAGCCAAACCTTTCACTTAGGGATGGGCGCGGGCCGGGGATCCCATTCCCTTGAGTGGGGGCCCGTGGGGATGGAATCACTCCCATCCCCGTCCTGGCGTTCATCGGGAATCCGTCCTGTGGGGATTTATCCCCCGAACGGATAAGTTGAAATATTGGATTGCTGGAGTACTCGACAACTCCAACAAAAATTAATACAGTAATTATATTCAATCTTAACATAATTTATTAGGTAAATTGCTAAATTATTCAATTGTATGGAGGCTTAGGTTTAGTTAGACATGTTAATTAATTAATTTTTCATAAAATTAATATAACTAAATTCAATCTTAACATAATTTATTAGGTAAATTGATGAATTAATTCATAAAACACTATCTCCACTACAACTAATAAAATTAGTCCATTTGTGAAAGGGACAAATCTCATTATTTGATTAAGTTTAACATCATATTTAATTGACCAATTAATTAATTACAAGGATAATTAAATTTATGTAATTTGTAAGTCGTTATGCAATTATATATTTTTATTGGTTTGTAAATTGTAATAATCTAAAATTTATTTTGGGCTATGTATATATTTTGTGAAATTCACAAAGTAATAATACATATATTTAATTATTAAACTCTCTCGTTTAAATTATTTTTCTATAATTAATACAATAATTATATTTAATCTTAACATAATTTATTATAAAAGTAAATATCATAAATTTAGATATATTACTTAAAATCATAATTTAAATTCTAACTTTATATACAATCTCGTAAAGGGAACAAAAAAAAAATATATAGAATTCTCAAAAAAGCAAGGTGGGGCGGGCCAGGCAAGGATTGTACTATCCCCTCCCCTGGCCCGTCCTCAGATGCTAGAATTTTTCTAAGGACCATCCCAACCCTATCCTCGGTTTTTTTGGGGATTTGTCACCCCATTCAAGGCGGATCCCCGCGGCCGGGGCAAACGCCCATCTCTACTTTCAAGAGATGTTGCTTTAAATAAATTTTAAAGGGCATATTAATATTAAAAAAATATATATATTTGATTTAATTAAATATTTTAAAAGTTTAATTACATATTAAACAAAGTGATCAATATAATATACTACGCATTTTCAGATTAACATTGAAAGTTAACATAATAAAATATTAAGTTTATTAGATTATATTATATGGTTTTGAGATACAAAATTTTAAATTAAAACTTAGAAAGATTTGAAATATATATTCCGCCATTTGTTTTAGTCCTCCCCACGTAGCATAAGATATGGAAAATAAGTATATATTATATTATTCATTAACATTAATACATGAATCATGCACACCTTTCTATTTTTTTTTTCTAATTAACTTAAAATTAATAATATGTAATAGGGACATAAATATTAAATGAAATAATAAAGCTTAATAATTAATTAAGATGTGTAGAGCATTAATCTTAAATAAATTAATAAATTAAAAATGGTAAGATGAAAAGGTCAACTATTATCTTCATCTCCACATGTCTCGGTTCATTGTTCTCCTCCATCCACCACCACCACCATCTCTATACCTGCTTATACCTAAATTTGCAGCCTTGAGTTAACCGTAATTCACGCTCCTTTTATCAAACCCTAAACCTTCTTATACCATTCCCCTTCCATTTTTCTATCCATTTCTCTCCCATTAATCAATCTATCTCCCCATGAATGTCTTTTCTTCAGGTACTTCACTTCAACCCAACTCTCTCTTTTATATTTCTTTTCTGCTTTTCATATATTTACGCTACTGTACTCTGCCTGCATTATGTATATAAAACGTTGTTGTGTAATGAAAACAATGACTAAAGGTTAATTAAGCAATATTAATTAATTAATTAATTAATCTATGATCGATATACGTTAATGTTGTTTGTTAAAACAGTGAAATCGTTTGGAAGAAATCCAAAATGATTAGGCTTGATTTCGATAATTGAACAGTAGTTTGCGTTATTTTGAAGAGAGTTTTGGCATTTAATTATGTACAGCCAAAAATGCATATAGTAATATACACATACAATGCAAAGAATCATCGCATTCGCATTAAATCACTGTGTTAGAAGAGAATAAACCCTAATTAATACCAACATTATAACCTTTTGATCATTAATTGTGTAATTAAGTTTAATTAGAGAGATATTGATTAGTCATAATACGTTTGTTAATTTGAAATAAATTCCAGGTTAATTACGTTCTGTGAAATTAAAATCTGGGATTCATGGCAAGTGGAACGACAACTCAAGGGAAGGAGAAGAGATCAGGCACATCGTCTTTTTCAAATCCAACCAGAAGTAGCAGACAGTCCAGCTCTGCCTCCAAACCCTCCATTGATAAAGAAAAGGAAAAGCCTGAGAAACCCCTCCCCAATTATCTCAAGCCTACTATTAGCTCACGCAATGAATCTTTCAAGCTTGTTAAGAAAAATAACACCCGTGAACAGGATCAAAAGTTTCTTAGAAGAAGATCTTTTGACAGCAGGCAGCTTCCCTCCTCTTCTTCTTCACAAAAAGCACCTTCCTCTCCGGCTCGTCGAGATACCATAGGGCCAGTGCTTAGTGAGAGGAAAATTACAGTTCGATCCACCTCTCATTCGTCCAGAACAAACTCTTCAGCCTCAAAAATGGTTTTGGATAGTGTGAGTACTACTTCATCGCGAACGACTAAAGGCGCTGCAGTGAAATCTCAACCACTTCCTTCAGGAAGCGCAAAGAAGAGCGCAACTTCAAGTACTAACCATAAGAAGGAACATAATGTGCCTCCTTCAGTGGATGATGCAAGTAGTAGTCATACATTGGAAAATGAAACTAAGGAAGAAGAAAATGAATATGAGGTTCATGAAATTGAAGAGGTTGTTAAGGCGGAGACAGAGGTGGATGTGCAGTCTGATGTACCAAAACCTGAAACCGTGGAAGACGTTGTTGATGATATACCTCGAGAAACTGAAGTTAGAAACAATGATGAGAAGTTTAAATCTTGTGACATTTCTACAGTTTCAGAATCTGAAAATGTGGTTCAACCTGCAGCACCTTCCCTAATTGAAGAAACTGTACATGAAGAAGAGAAATCAAATGAAGTGGATGATGTTCCTCAACAAGAAACATCAAAAGAAGAAGTGAGAGAGTTAGAAGAAAGTACTGGCAATAGTACAACTCTTCCGGAAGAGAACATTGTTGAGGAAGCTAAAACTGAGGTGGGAGATCAGAAAGTGGTAGATGATAATGAGAATAATAAAACTGAAGATCAATTAGAGTCTACAGAAGATGCTGTTGGAGATCAAGAGACGGAGGTTGTTGAAGAGATGGAGCAGCAAGGTGAAGTTGAAGAAAGCGAGCAGGTTAAGGCGAAGGAAGAAAAAGAAAAAGAACAAGAACAAGTAGAGGAGGCAAATAAAGATGATGAGGTTGAAAAAACAAAAACAAAAACAAAAACAAAAACAAAGCAAGAGAATGCGCCTGCAAATCTGGTGATTACATCAAAGAGGCAAGATGAGGGACAAGGGAAGAAGGAATCACCAACTGCATACAATGATGTGATTGAAGAGACTGCAAGTAGGTTACTTGAGAAGAGGAAGAACAAAGTCAGAGCACTGGTGGGAGCATTCGAGACTGTCATAGATTACGAGTCTGCATCAACACCAAAAGGAAGTAATTAACAGTTGGTTTTAAATAATAATAATAATAAAAAATAAAAATAAAACGTAAAAATTATGAAGTTCATTGTTTGATATAGTATTTGAGTTTCGAAGGTACAGAAATTTTTTTTTTTATATAAAAGATAAAGTGAAGTGTTGTAAGTAATTTGTGGTGGACGATATAAAGTTATTGAACATCTTTGTAATCAGTCTCTGTTAAAAATTGTTGTATAAACTGCATCAAGTGTGTGAATTATATTTGACAGATTTATTTTCTTTTGTTTCTACTTTCTACTATAACTCTTCTTCTCTCTCTTTTTCTGCTTCACTGTCTAGAAAACTGATCTTCTGGCCTATCAAATTATTTCAAATCTACCAAATAAGCTTATCAAATCTTACGTCCAATTGAGTTGATACTGTTCACTTTAGGCTTGGAACTGACAATTTCTATTTAGTTAGACCCAAGATTTAACAAATATTGGTATGAGTAAACGACATATTCCCAGGGCTACCCAAGGTTTGACGAAGTCCTAGGTTAATACCATAGGTTCCATTTATTCCAGATTCTCACCCTTAAAGTAATAGTGTTATGAATTTTTAGGGGTTTAGAGGGTGCAATTACCATAATGCCCTTAACCCTAAATTAATAAATTATGATTTAACCCCTAAATCAGTATAATTATAAAACTTACCATTTTATTTTCAAATTATATCAAAAACACCCTCAGTCGCTACACACCCTCGTCGGAAACAACTCGATCTGGGTTGTTTCCGACGACGTCGAGCCCCTTGGTCACCTCCATCACCTTCCCCGTAGTCCGTAGTCCGTCATCCAAAACCCCTCTGGTTCCCGACTCATTTGCCTCTCCAATCGCCGGTGCCGTTAGGCTTAGGGTTTCGGTGTTCTTCACCGGATTCTGATGACGAAAATCCAATTGGACACCACCAATGCAACCATCGTCTCCAAATCTATAAAACCCCTATGTCCCCAACAACCGTTTCGTCGTCATTCGCCAGCCAAGAGTTTGTGTTCATCAGCCGTTTTTCGATGAAGTGGTGGACGGCAAACAGTAAGCTGTTGTGGTTGGAAAGGTTAGGGTTTTTGTAGGGGAGGATGCGAGGAGTCAAATGGTGGTGACAATGGTGATTTTGGGTGGAAGAATCGCCGGAAAAAGAGTAAAAAACGCCGGCTGCTAATGTGCGCCGGAGGATTGTTACAGACGGTGGTCTGCTAACGTGTGCCACCCATGTAAAATGACCAATTTACCCCTTTACCGTTACATCAAACATTTTTCCGTCACTTTAAGGGTAAGAATTTGGAATAAATGGAACCTATGGTATTAACTTGGGATTTCGTCAAACCTTGGGTGAGAATATGTCATCTACTCTATTGGTATCAGTATAGTCTCGCTATCCAATGGAGGCGGTATGACAACCTCGCAGAGGTGCGGAGTTCATCACATTCCATCTTGACGAATATGTTTGAAATTCAATTTATAATGCTTAATTCTTTTAACTTAATAAATGTGTCTTGGGTGAAGGAAATTGTCTAATCCTTTTATGCCTGATGCTAATTTTTGAAGGTCTGAAAATTTGGACTGCTTTATGGTATGCAAAACTTACGTTTCAATATGCATCATCAAATGGGTTTGATTTTTTTTTTTTTTTTCTTTTTCATATACTTTTGTATTTATTGAATACCATATTATGAATATATCTTATTCTTTTGAAAACCACCAAAATCAGTTGTATACCATATTATAGGAGTATAACCTTATATTCTTATTCCTTTGAAACCACCCAAATCAATAAAATATGAAGCATTTAATACTTGTGCATATTCGATTTTCGAACACAAGAACAAAGTCTTGTTGGCCAATCACAAGACTAGTGATTATAACATTGATTGCAAATAATTATAAACCTATAAATTAATAAATATTACATTTAATTAACAAAATATTGCAAGGTATACACAGTAAAGATCCCTAACAAAACCAACACTACTATTTAAATTACATACCCAACAAAATCAGTCAAGTTTTCTCAACACATCTGCATGATCAAGAATGGCAGAATAGTCTAAAATTCAAAAAAAAAAAAAAAATAATAATAATAATTTAAACGAGCAACTCCTGGCAGTATTTCCGTGGAGCAATTTCTCTAGGAAAGCTTACGACACACGCCATATATACTCTTTGTATTAATCTTCTCTTGAATTAATCGAAATTGGTTCCTCGACGGTAACGTAGCTCCAAAGAAACTTGTCGTTCATAAAAAAGTCGGCGACGGAAGTTAGAAATAAAGATATCTGCCCGCCTATTAATATCATCATCAGAAGAATAAACATAACTTCTTGTTCTTTGAAGAGCTCGAACCGAGCTACTCTCATCAGATTCTTCATCTTCATCTTCATCATCAATACAACGCAACCCTAAACATCGATCGTAATCAAAGCTCCGTGACCGCCGGTTGAAACAGCCACCACCAGTACCAGTACCACACATTATTGAAGCTAAGCGCCGTTTGCTTGCATTTAGAAGGTTTAGTAGAAAGCTCAACTTCTTCACGGCCGTCTTGAAACGGCGTCGGAGGAGTGACCAGTTTTGAGTTCGAGCCATTTGTTCTTAACAATGAACTGAGACTGAGGTTTGTTGTATATTTATAGCTGAAGCCTGAAGGTTGAAGCTGAAAATTCTCCGACAAGATTTGAGTGGAAAGCGCGTGAGAAATTCTCGGACAAGATTAGTGACTTGAGTGTGTAAACACAGAGCTTGTTTGCGACGTAGTTTAATAGAAGAATATGATGGGACCTGGGGTGATAGAATGACAGGATTGTGACAATTGTCATTTGCTTACTTGGGCCACAAGCCAATGAGTCAGAAGCGTAAGAGGGGATTTGATTGGATGTTCTGGTAAGCGTTGTACATCACAGCTGTCACGTTACTGTCTTTAGTACTTGGTATTATTTCGTAAAATGCTCTATACTTGCTGACTAAGTTTCGGCAAAGAGAAATTACGGAAAGCTATAAGAAAAACAACATATAACTTAATAGATTGAATTATTTAAGACAAAGTTGAATAGACAACCAAATCCAAGTCATCAAATTTTTGGTGTGTCCAAGCCCAAAATGTTTCTGGCTATAGAGGTAATACCACTACGTTTAATTCTAAAAATAAGCATAAAACAAAAATTACAATGCAAAACTGAATAACAACTACAAAAATTTCAACATCCCCAGCAAGTGTGGAGGTCCAAACTTGAGTCTCAGGAGTTGGCAACGAACTGCTCATGAACATCATGATGTTGGCTTCCTTACCCAGAGGTTGCAGCTTCCTCATCAGTTACCGGACTATCTGTGGTTCCTTCCTCGGTTTGTGTTTGTTTGCTAGAACCTCCATACATCTGTCTTCTGAGTTCCCTACGGGCTGCCCTCTTGGCAAGTTTCAGGTCTTTAAAACCCTGTTCAAACTTGGCTTCATCTTCTGGAGAAAAGAATACTACCTCCATCTTCCCAAGCTCTTCATGCAGCTTCTCAATCTTGCTCTTCCAGAAAAGACCCATTTCTGTATCCATCTTATGGTAAGGAGTCTTCAGCAGATACTCATCAATGCCCCCTGCCTTATCTATGCAGCGAAGAGCATGGGTAGTGACTTTGACTCTAATGTGGCGGTCTAATATGTAACTAAAGAGCCGCTTCTCCTGGACATTGGGCTTCCAGAACCTCCTTGACCTATCATCAACATCACATATAAAGTCTTTGAAAATGATACTCTTCTTCTTTGGCAAATTTAATGCAGATACTAGAACTTCATATTGCAGCATAGCACGAGGGAAGAATCATTGATTTTGCAATACTATATTCAATCCTGTCCTATAAATTGCATTAGAAGCCAAGCAAAATAAAAAACATGCACATAGTGTTACACTAGTGCCCCAACCCAAAACTCTATTCAAAGTTAATTACAGCAATCATTCAATCAAGAACAATGAAACTAACAGGTCTTCCTAATATCTCCAGGTAATTCCCAAAAATATATAATCTCTCAAATAGCAATGAAACATCCCAAGCACAAAACAGCTTTACCATCAAAAGCAAGCTCTGTCAAGTTTGAGAAGTGGCTTGAGAAGACCACTTCTGCAGCAATAACGGTTAGATATTCAATCAGATTGCACGATTCAGTTAGATCCCACTCAACTCAGATGAAAGAATATAAAGCGGATTAAGAGTCTGTTTGGTTGGATTTCTCTACTGGGCAAAAGAGTGTTTTTAATCTTATAAGCACTTGATGAATTTTTTTTAGGTTGTTTGGTTGCATTTCAAAAGTGCTTATATGGTTATAAAAGAATTATTTTATGCCTTCTGAGAAAAGCTCAAATTTGGTTATAAAAGAGTTATTTTATGGCTTCTGGGAGAAGCTCAAAATTTGAGCGTTTCCCATAAACTTTTTCTGAGCTTATTAAAAATGTTGAAATTTGAAAAATATCCCTATTCAATCTTTTAAATTTCTCTTAATCTTTTCTTGTATATTAAAACCTTTTCTGTTAAATTAATATTAGAAAGCTCTTTTACATTTTCCTAGCCAAACAAATAACAAAATAAAAGATCTACACTAAAAAGCTCTTCTTCCTTAAGCTCTACTTGAAGAAGCCGTACCAAATGAACCCTAAATACAACCAAAATTTCGGAAACTCTAAACAGAAACACTTGCCCTGAAGATTTAAAAAAATTAAAATCAACACTCCATGTAACACTTAAAGTTGGAGAAGTACAAGCACCCAACTCGAAAGTTCCAGAATTCAACACACAGATGAGACAAACAAGTTTCAAAATCCATCTTCACTAGCTCTTGACCTGACTATCCTTTTAAAGGTGATTCATCTCTTTACTTTGCATATTTACAAGAATTCAGACCCATCTTCACTAACTCTTGACATAGACTACCATTTTCCAGGTGATTCATCACTTTGCCTTACTTATTTACAAGCACTCAGATACATTTTAAGGACTTGAGTCAGAAACTTAGAAGGATTTACCCTATGATACTCCTAAATGTAAGCAATAGAATACATTCTCCTTGATTCTCAGACAAAACATACTGCAAAATGATGACTTCATTCCACGTTTTAGGAACACCAAGTTTTTCTTAAATTTCAATCCTACTCATTTTCCTGGAGCTAACTTCGTCAAACCCTAGTAACAATTTAAAAAAGAAAAAAAATCAACTTGAATTCAGTGCCCAACCCTAAAAGAGAAACACATCCATCAAATCTTTTTCCCAACATAAGAAAATCATTCTCCAAGCTCAACGAAATCACCAAAATCACAACATTTACACCATTAATTAAAAATAAAAATGAATATACCTAATTAAGAGTGCAGAACTTTAGCAAAATATAAAAATTATGAAAGTTAAAGAAAGAATTACTTGTTGCCGCCGTCCTCGCTGACGCGATTGCCGAACTGGATGTGTTTTCCAGCGAAGAGACCGCGTTTGGCTCGGTTCATAACGACCTTGCTGTCTGGAATGCATTTCTGAAGAGATTGTTTTACTCCTGGAGCCAGGTTGTTCTCTCCAACCTTCTTTATTACTTTCTTCATCATCTCCCTCCCTCGAAACGCCATGTCTTTTCTTCTTTAGGTTGCAGGAAGACAATAGGAACAGGTTTCAGTGCTTTTCTTTTAAACCTCCTCCTGTTGTTATCGAGTTTCGCCTCTGATTCAGTTAACACTAGCAGTTGGATTACCTTAGTCTACCCTTCATATTAATATATAAATAAATATTTACTTTAAAAATAAAAAAATAAAAAAAAAATCCAGAAAAGGGAATATATAAGAGATTGTTGAAATGGTTTATATTGATTAAACTTTAAAGTTTTATTCCTTTTACTGAAATCAGAATTAAATTGTATATACATATTTATTTAGTTTGGAAAAATTTATTTAAAAATTTCTCGAATACAAAATTATACGTTTGACATTTTTTTTTTAATAAATATGAAAACTGATAATGAATCTAAATTTAGGGATTTTTTATTTGAGTAATGAATATCCAGTAATATTATATAACATCATATAAATTTTAAAATGATACGATAATTGATAAATAATGTCTCGAAAATTAAAATTCCAATTTCTTGGCCCAAATATTCAACTTTCAACTTTCTTTTATTATAAATTTAGATGAGGTTAATTACTCTTGAGAACTTTTAAACATCCCTCTTATTTATGTTTATTAAGATTCACGTTTGGTCTCGAATCCCTAAAATTAACGATAAGATAAATGTTCTAATAGTCACCCTTATTAGCAACCAAAGAAATTAAACTCAAGACTATATACCCAAGAGCTTCTATCGTCACCCGACCACCCAGGGATGGTTTTGGTTGACATTAACATTGTTTCCCTCTTCAGTTATTCCAATATAACTACCCATCTCCACTGAAAATATAATTGGTAAAGATGAATTAACTAAAATAGTTGCACAAATCTTCTACAGACATAAAGTTCTTGCCCCTGGCAACTCTGAAATAGGTGCAACAAGTTTTGACAATTGCTCACTGGTAAAAACTCCAACTGCTCTTGAGCTGTGTTTCACTACCACAACCATCTTGTACCTCTTCTCCAATATTAGATCAACCACATGACCGATGGAAGTTGTGGCGGCAACGCAAGGAGGTGGACTTCTCATCATGGCTGAAAGAGGGGCATTCAACTGCAACAACATAACAAGAAAACTTGAATCAGCACGCTACAGCCTACAAGGAGTTCGCTACCGACAAGAGTAATGAACTAAGACAGTTGTAGAATAGTAGCTTAACCAAATATGGAACTACCTCAGTGCAATCTTCACGGTGCAGTAGTCCAACACAGCTCCCCCAGTCATCTATAATAGGCACAACTGGATCCCTGAAGAAACGCATAACCACTTTCTGCAGGACTGTGGTGCATTGTAATGGCTGAGCTTCTTCAAATGGCATCATGAGATTCTCAATTGGTTCATCGGGTGATATCTGAGTAGTAAAGTATGGTTAGAAGATGCTTAAGAAAATTCTCCAAGTTAAAACACTATGGTACAATGGGAAAAAGTAAAATTGGGTACCTGGGGAAGTAGGTAGGGACTGAACATGGATTTAGTGAATCCCAATAATGCCTCTATGCGAACAGCAACCTGCATTACCATGATTTGCAGACAAGTGAGGAATGTGTTTATTCATTCCAAAAATAAGTAGCACAATTATTACACTTTACAGCTAGTGAGAATATGGAAAATTGACACCCAAAGATCAGGTAGTTGAGTTTACTTTTTATTTTTATTATTTTAACTTTATTGTATTTATATCTATTACATACCATGCTTCCTCTGCTCCTCCAAGATATTCCTTTCCATTTTGTAATGATATCGGTAAGCTTGTCTATAGACACATTAACCTAGCAAAGAAACCCAAATACAGAATTAACATACTGGTGACTTATCCAGCTTGTCCATAAAGTGCTGGATATGAGCAGAGGTGATCACTGAAGACAAATTATGTCAGAGTGCCATCACAACTCAAGTTAAAAACGATAAAGATTGCATGTTGAGAATACAGAAGCAGTCTGGGAAAGGAAATGACACCATTATAGGCCCCATAAGTTGAAGATCGTGTATACAAAAATCTAGTACCTGACCATCATTTAAAGCTGCCTCCATGAGAAGATGATCAGCTTCCTCTTGAACTGCCAAGGATATGGTTCCTGCAGAATCTGGCCACATGCGTTTATGAAGATTTTTTACCATAATATAGTCACCTCTAGCAGCTAATTTGCGCATCATAGAAACATAGAGGTGAGGTTTTGGCCGCAGCTTTGGATTTGCACCAGACCGCTTTACGATTTCCCCAAATACACAGAGAGCACCTAGGCATAACAAAGACCAACAACCAATAAATAGAAGTTAAAAAGTGTTGTTCAGTTATCAACACCTAAGAGCAAAATTTTACTGTCTAAGAAGAAAGAAGACGGAACCATATACAATTTGGCCAAGTACAATAAAAAATTCATATGCAATCATTCTCCATGACAACTCTTGCAAGGAGTACAAAACTCCAAAATTTATGTTGGATATCAATTCCTTGTAATCAAGAAGTATTCTTATATGAGGGGATACCACAACTATATATCACTTTGTTAAAACCCAATTAAATAGGAAGTTGAACCAGTAAGTGAATAAAGATTCCGGATAAGATTGGGCTTCATAATGTATAATTTAACTCTAATCCACCAAAAGTTACCTGTAATTTCTTGAAACAATCCTGTTCTAGTATACCTTTAATTGAGCCACAATTCAGTAATGCACCAACTATTGCAGTGAAAGCAGTTCGATCAATAAACAAGTTCTGACAGGATTTCATCTCAAACATGATTTTCAGAACAGAAGGCAGATCCTTGGCATGCCCAAAGCCCTACAAAGAAAAGGAAATGAAAGACTAGCTCAAAATTAGGTTTAACAACACAAATCCTGAAGTTCTAATTCACCACAACATAAAAGCTAAACTGCTAATTCACCAATATGTCTACTTTGCTACTACATGGTAATAATAGATTTCAATAGCCTGACTCACAGCAAGATATTAGTCATTTAGATTTGTTTTAAAGATGCAATTCAACTAAGCAATAACTCCAGATATTAATACATGGGATTTGTTTCAAGCATACTTAGCTAGTTGCAGCCCATTTAAACTTTTACCAAGTTGTCATTCATACAATCATACATGGGAAAAAATGACCAAAAAAAAAAAAAAAAACAGAAATAAAACTGACCTCGAGTAACATAGTGTAAGTGAAAACATCAGGATGAAAATTATCATAGCTATATTTCTGAGCTTTCTCCTGTAAAAAGGTCAAGAGTAATAATTTAAGTAAACCAATCCAATTCTTGTACAACTGAAAAATATTAAGAGGCACAAAACTGGCCTTTGAAACACTGAGACCTTCAGTTGCTCGTAGAAGGACATCGCAACATCCAACTTTTCAGACTTGACACAAGCAAAGATTAAAGTGTTATAAGTGAGCCTGTCAGGCTCTAGTCCTAAATCCAACATCTCCTCATGCAGAGTTAACACAACCTCAGGACTGCCAGCATTTATATGTCCCTGAAATTTGTAAAACCAAACGTCCTTAACAACATCAATTTTCAACTTATATGGTATTTAAGGATGTGTAAGCACAATCTAAAACCTTCATCAAAAGATTGTACAACAAGACAGAAGGATTGCCGCCTTCACGAAGAAGAAAACCATATCGTGCAAGAAGACCATTAGCACGGCGTAGATCTCCTGCACTACAGCAATGCGTTTTGAAGCCAGCTTAGATAAACAATATAATAGTCATATCCATTCAGCTATATTTTTCCTTATATTCATGTCAAAGTACAAACCTGCTTCAATTAGAGCATTTAACAGACCACAAATAAGTGGTGCAGACAGCTTTGGACTTCCCACGGCTGCACCCTTCTCCACTGCCTCTAGTATTTGAAATGCTTCATCAATTCTTCGAGACTCACCCAAACCCTATACAATTTCAATAAGGAACCCCTTAATCCAAAAACTTAAACTAACGTACAATTATCACGACTAGTATTAAGCTCTCTAACAAGTTGTCTCGTGTGTAATGTGAACGGAATCACTAACATTTCAAGTAACTAATTCATCTCAAGTTTTGTAGCTTATGTATTTCAATCTAGTATTGACAGAATTAACTTCTTCTATGTACTCATCCGCTCATTTCAGGATACATCAACTTATATGTAAGAATTTTCATCCAGATTCCAGAATTTGTATATCTGGCATTATTTAAAAGTTTGCAATCAAAATTTTAAAAATTATAAGAATTGCGAGAAGAAAGAGAACCTTCAATAGAGTACCATAGGTAACATTATCAACGCCGCAACTCTCAGGCTGTGACATGTCATCAAAGAATTTAAGAGCCAAATCAATGTCTCCGCAATGAACACAAGCCTCCAAAACTGCGTTCATTACGATGGTGTTCAGCTTGCCATATCTTCTCTTTGCAATCTTTATTTCCTCAACAATCTGCCAAAGAAATAACAGGAAATAAATAAATAATAAAATACAAGCGAAACAAAATTTTAATCAAAAAATAATTAAGAAATAATACCTGGTGGAGCTGTCGACGGCGAGTGAGCTGAACGACGCGGAAGGTGAGACGTTTCAGGTTTGGTGGTTTATGTAGGGCCGGCGTCTTGTTGAGCCAACGCCGTCGCGACAGCGCAGAGAGTAGCGGCTTTAGTGGTTGAGGTGAGAGAGCATGAATCTGATGCATTGCCAGTGTACCGCTTGTGATGATTATGAGGCGTTCTCATCAGTCTCGGGCACGCAGATTGCAGAGCGAGCGAAATCAAGTAACGGATAATGTTTTGTCGAGAGAAAATGAGAGTTTTGAGAGGGAATCGTTGGTGGATAAGCAATGGATAGCATGTTATACTTGGGCCGGATCGGGCACGGCTAGGGCCAATTTGGCAAAGTAGGATCAAATAACCCATTGGGGCAGGTTCCCAGCGGCCCTGGATCATTTGGGTTGGGTTCACCTTAACCCTGCCCTACTAAAAATAGAGTAATGTTACAGTTACCAAAATGAACACACCGAATTCATGTACCGAATGACATAATATAATTTTGACAGCAATTAATTATGAGTTAATATTAATTGACGGTGAGGATTGCACCCCGTCATTTGATGCGCTCTTTTCGGTAACTGTATTATTTTCTTTAAAAATAAGGTGTACACAATAATTCCCTTTAAGTACTAAGTAGGATCAAATAGCCAAAATCCCCCTATAGTCATAGTAATGAAAAAATACCCTACCATTGAGTTTTGTGTCAAAACAAATTTAGAGGGGCAATTAGTTAAATATTCATTAAGTCATCGTATTATAAATTCTAAACATTCAATAATGGTAGGGGGATTCATGTTATTTCTTAAATTTTAAAGAAAACTTTATTATTTGATTAAACTTCGGGGATCGAGGTAAACCCTTAAGAATATGGTAAAGTTTAGCTAACTCATTTAATTTGTAATGTGTTTGGGTAACTCACATACCCATTAAATTATTTTATAAGCAATTAATAATAAATAAAATTATTTTATTAAATTGACAATTTAATATAGAACTACAAAATAAAAACATCATTGGATTATTTCGCTAATCACGGTCTCCTAGAGTTTCTCAAGCAAAAACGCTTATATAAAAACGTTTTTTTAGCTTTTGATCTGAGCAATAATGTGTAGATCGTGGCCCAAAGATATGATTTTTTTTTCCCGTAAAAGGCAGTCAAAGTTTTAAATGCTAACACTTTTGGCCACTTCTTACTACTAATATAGAAATTGTTTCTTAATGATGGTTTTATGATTAGATAAAGGGCGAACGACGTGCACCCACCCAAGGTTTGAAGTAAAGACAATGTGATACCTAGATAGTTTGGAAAAGACAAACAAGTATTTTCCGCCATTCTCTGTTAAGGATTTCCGTCTACTAAGAGGTAACACTGCTTAAAAGACTAAAATGCCCTTAAAATTTTGCCATGGCAATTAATAATTTTTTTTTTCTCTGTCGTTTTGGTTTCCATTTCTTCTTCTTCATCATTCTTTTTTTCTTCTCCATTGGTCTCTGTTTGATGAAATAGATGGACAAAATTGCTCTTTTTCTTTTTCCTTCTTCTTCGCCATTCTGAAATCTTCATTAATTGAAAAGATTTCATTACAAACTCATTAAAACGCCGACAAACCAAACCGTAAAACTAACCACCGAAATCTTCCTGCTGTACTATTTGCTGCTCTTGCTATTGGTTTTGCATATTGGCGGCAAAGAAAACCACGAGGATATTTCTTTAATGTAGCTGGTTAGTGTCTGACTCCAAAAGAAACTCACCTTGATGTTTGATTTTGATTGCATTTTTACTTGGTGTGTGTTTTTCTCAGAGGAAAAAGATCCAGAAGTCCAATTTGGATAGCTGAAAATATTTTCTTTGCTAGAATTACAAGTTGCAACAAATACTTTTAGCAAGGAGAACATCCTAGGCATAGGTGGATTTAGTAAGGTGTATAAGGGACGGTTGGCTAATGGCACAGTGGTGGAAGTGAAAAGACTTAAAAAAAACCGGACACGTGATGGTGAGCTGGAATTTCAAGCAGAAGTGAAGATAAATAGCATGGTAGTGCATCGAGATCTCTTGCCTTTACGTGGTTTTTGCATGAATCCAATTGAGCAACTGCTTATTTATCCATGAATGGCTAATGGAAGTGTTGCATCACGTCTAAGAGGTATTGTTAGTTCTTTCTCATCATTTAAGTTGCATTTGTACTGTGAGATGTGCCTGAAAGAGAAAGATAAGTTGCATTCTGCCAGGGAACACCAATCATTCATGTTGAGGATTTTGTTTGATGTAAAATATTCTTCTTTTCTGCAGAAAATAAAAAAAATTGTATATTCACAATCATGGATGAGAATCTATATAACAATTGAGCCCACTATTAAGATATTGTGAAATGTTCTCCTACCCACCTATTAAATAATGAGGCTTAAAGTGCATTCCTCTTGATTTAACCTAGGACTTCATCCTTGGAAAGAAATCGGGAGTATCAATCAGGTTACTTCAATTGGTTTCCAAAAAGCTAAGGTAAATTGCAATATTATACAAGGCAATAAACTTCATTTTGTAGTTGAAACACAAGTTTTTTCATCCCCTATGTACAACCTCTGATTAGGTGTAGGTGTCATTGCCATAGCCTCTATCGGAGATTTGTGTTCACATGTATTCTCTTTAGCATCAATTACAGAAAAAAAAATTATATAAAAAAGAATACAAAATGAAGAGAAAATAAAACAAAATAGAGTTACAAATAAAAAGAAACATAGAATATGATATTTTACTCTCAAAAAAGGAATGACCAAAGATGACAAGGTATTCACTCTCGGTGGTAATGGAGTGTGTATCCATTCAATGGATAAAGTTGTCTGGTTAGATCAAGTATTGTTACACTTTTGCTATTGTGAAACATCAAGTGGTGTGTCCTAATCCCTTGGAGGAGTATGTCAAGGCCTTACATGCCTTGTTTGTTGGTCATCTTTATTGTTGAGTCCCTCAGAGTTGATATTTCACATGCAATCAAGGTGTAGGCAATAACATTGTCTGTTCAAATTTTACTGTTAGGCCTATGAAGTGTAATCAAGTTAGGATTTGGACTTTTAGATTAACCTGTGTGAAGCACACATGTAATTATAGGAGATCAGTCTATTTGACAATGACAATGTTTAATAGGTGCTTGATTGCACTATTCTCTATATAATTTTTTATTATAAAGTTTAAGAGCTGATAAAATTGTTTTTGTTAGATTGAAATACTGTTGGGGAAATCAAAGAAGTTTGATGAGTTGATGGCTGCCGCTGCAAAGGAGGCCCTGGAAAATAAGGAGCAGAGCTGGGCTTTTTAGATTTTACCTGGAATGTAGCTTGTTCTTAAGTTCGTTAATTATGGACTTCTATAACGGTTTTTTCTAGATGAACTTTTATCAAGTGAAGTTTTATTAGTAGTAACATAATTCTTAGAGGAATTTTGTAAAATTCAATGCTCTCGGTTGCTTAATTCAAATGTGTTTTGAAGTTTATGTAACCTTCTCTATTTCACAATGGTTTGTTGGTGTTGGTTTGTTTATGGTTAGGCATGATACGTGACCATCATTCTTTAACTCATTGTTGACCACCATAGTGAAAATAAGGGTTTACATGCCATCATTCTTTCACTGTGAAACTCACTAGCTCAAGGGTAATGAGAAAAATGAAGTCTTTCATTAATACATATTGCTTATGAATTTATTTAGAGCAAACGTCGTCTGTAATGGATTGAGACTGTAACCTGGAAAAACTTGTGTTTCAACTACAAAATGAAGTTTACTCACCCTTAATTACATAGGTTTACTATATGATAGATTATCCAGCATCTTGGCGTACACAAAAGTACTACAATGTATTTGCAAAATTAAGTCAGCAAAGATTTGTCCTTGTATTGATAGCAAAAGTTCAAACTGAAGGTATACAAAAAGTGCAACACAACTAAAATGTTTAATTTGTGGCTGAAGCAATTAACAAGATGCTTATATTAGCATCTTCAAAAAGTTGCGTAAGTCTTGAAGTGTGGCATAGTGCTCTTCGAAAATCTTGAACAACATGGTATTTGTGGCTTCACGAATCTGATGACTGGAAAAGTGCAGATAGACAAAGAGATGCTACACCATAAAAAAACAACCATTTCTTATTGTTAGAACCATATCAAAATGACAAAGAAAATCATCATCAAACACAAACCCACCAGTCAAAACCAAATATTGCCAAAACATACTACCCAAAGACAACAAGTGCTACACAAAAAACACTATGCCCAATTTTCATACCACAAGTTAACCTACTGCTGCAGCAAACAAAAAAACCACCAATTTGCATCAATGACTTGGTTGACCTACTAAGATGAGTAAGAATAAAGTTAGTGACAGTGAAAGGTAATAATCATAAATAACATATGGTTTAAAACAGTTTTAAGTACCCCTTGAACTTGAAGCTTGTGACAAGATTGACATTTGAGTTGAAGAAGCCATTGAAGATGCTGCAAACTGAGCTGCTGAAGAGGGTGCAGTCATTATGCGCACAAATGATCGCTACAAAACGAAAAAAAGGAAATCAATATTATTATGATAATCATTGAAAAAAAAATTATGATGAAATGGACATTTTACTATTACCTTCTGCTTCTTTCGTTTATTTGCATTTGTTGGATTTTTTTTGCAAGACCTTTTGTTATGGCCATGACATTGCAGACACTACATATAAGGGTAGAAACCCTTTTACTTTTTGGCTCTTCAGTTGGGTCTCTCCTTCTTGACTTGGGAGGTCTACTAGGCTTGGGTTGCTTGGTTGGTGGCCATATTTTTTCATCATTGACCTCTGGCCAGTTGGTCTTGTCGGGGACAAGGCGGATCATGTCTGCATTAGTTTGCAGGTACATTAGAATTCTAAGCTTCTTATCAACATGTTCTTCAAAGTTGGAGACGTTTCTGTGTAACAAACAACTTATAACATGAACACAAGGAATACTCGATAGCTGCCACAATCACACACCTGGTTACCCAAAACTAGCACATGTTTTCGCTCTTGCTTATCAAACTCATCAGATCCAGGGTACTGGACATTGACATTTCTAGCTGACTCAATCAACTTGTTAACCTTTCTATGAACAACTGGTGGAAGAGGTGTAACCCATTCTATACCGGCTTGGAATCTACATTGTAATCGTTTCATCACCCTACATAGGTAAAGCTCAAGTATACTTAGTATAGGAAGTTCCCTATCTTCACCCAATCATGAATTG